ACCTTCCCAATATATTAAGTCTGAGAAGTTGCTATCAATTTGACTTAGGGCCCATTTCTTTGGTACTGGACTATGGTGATGGTTATGATCCCTTACAATTGTTGTATTGTCATATGGTGGTGGTGGGGGAACTGATTATAGCATAATGATATCCTGGTTAAAGTAGTTTAATTGGCAGTAACAATAGACTCAAGTGCAGCCTGACTACTGTCAAACTGTGGTATTAGCCAGATGTTTACAACAGTAGGAGGAAGTTCTACAGAAATACAGTCCAACTTATACCAGGAACTTGTATGCGGTGATTTTCCACTTAGTGGAGTGATTTTATCCTGTTGTGGTGGTGGTTTAGGAGGAAGAGGGAGGGATGGAGACATGAATGAGGCTAACTATAGTATGAGCAAGGTTGGAGGGCACAGGATGATTATTCAGGTTTGGGGTCATTGTAGGACATAGGAGGAAAGGATTGGAAGAGAAGGCCTAGGTGTTTTGAAGTGAACCAAGGAGAAGAGACAATGTTTACTCACATGAAAGTATCATAAAATCTAGCCAGATAGTTGACAAAAGAAAGGAAGGAGGAGGAGTAAGATAAACCAAAAAGAAAGGTTAGAGATTACCTGTTGGCTGGTATTGCTAATGTTGCTTGGGATATTTCCATGCCTCTAGTTCACCCTGTCCATCATGTGCACCTTAGCCAGGGTCCTACTGTATCTCTTGTGCCCTGGAGATTTCCAGGCCCTGAGTCCCACCAGTGGAGTCTCCCGAGTTGATGGAGAAAGGGAGGAGCACAAACTCAGACTCCTCTTGCTAACCATGCTGTCCCTGGGTTGATTTCAACTTTATTTGTTGTGATTTTACTTTCCACTTTTTTTTGGGGGGGTGGGGTGGGTTTTTTCCAGTACCAGGAACCGAACTCACGACCTTGCACTTGCCAGGCAGGCGCTGTGCCACTGAGCTAAATCCCCATCCCCTACTTTCCACTTTTTTTTTCCACAGGTTACTGTGTTGATTTTACCTTCCATGCCTTTTCCAGTACTCTGTTACCAACCATCAGTTATGCTGCTGTGGAGAAACTCACAGTTTGTATTTTTTATTCAGGGTTTTAAATTAAGAAGGTCTAATACATTTGTTTTCAACATTATCATATTCAGCACTCTTTAGATTAAATTATAGTTTAGATTCTGCTTGTAATATACAAAAATAAAATTAGTGTATAATATTATCTGTACATCTTCTTTGCAAAAAAGAAATACAATGTCTGTTGATATAATTAAATAAAAGCAAAACATGTATCACAAAGGCAATAGGTCAAGAAATACTCAGTTGATGCCGCTGAAACAAAGTAAGTATGTATGTTGCACCTGGGTACAGAACCCCTGGGGCTGCAGCAGGTACAAACACAGACTGAGACGGGGGTGCTATACAGTGTTGTCTCAGCACCTGCAAGATGTTTTGCTGTTAGTGAGGTGACTGTGAGATGGTTTACAACTCTGGGTAAAACTTGGAAAGAAAATAGTGTAATTTCTGGTCAGTTTACATACAACTCATGATTCCTGCAAAATTCAATCATGTGCAAAAATATATAAACATTGCTAGGGGAGGAATACTATAATTTTATGACTCTTTAATATAGTAATGTATATAAAAATTTAGTACACTATGTAGTAAAATAATATAAACAATATGAACTTAAATGGACTTAGCAAAGAATAACTTATTAATGATGATGAATATTCAGGAAAGTCTTCCAAAGCTGTGTGGATGGCAGATCATTCTCTCACGTTGCTCATATCCTGTAGAGGCAGCTCTGTCCCTTTGAGAGTGATGACGTGATCAACTCTCTCAGTTTGTGGCTGGGCAGAATAAAGCCCAGAGGGCAAAGTGCTCATCTGGAGTCACTGAGTGTTGCACTCGGGCTCACTGGGGCCCACATAGTGTGACCCTGAAACTTTGGTATTTAAATATATACATTTAATATATATTTAAATATATACATTTATATATTTAAATATATAAATATTTGGTGAGTGTGTGGTACTGGAGATTGGACATGGCCTCACACTGACATCCCCAGGTCTTTTTATCTTTTATTTTAAGACAGATTCTCATTAAGTTGCCAAATTGGCTTGAAATTTGCAATCCTTCTCCCTGAGCCTTCCAAGTAGGGAGTGACTGGGGTAACAGACATGTGCCACCATGCCTGGCTAAACATCGCATTTTGTAGCAGAACACACTTGAGTTCATTGCCAGGGATATAGCACGATTCTGGCTACTATGCTGCTTCTGCTGGTGAACATAAAATGTTTGCATAGGAGAGTGCATGTCCTCACGAATGGTGCTAAAACTACATTCTAAACCTGGTCAAACCTAGTACAGCTGTAACACAATAGGATCTGATTTTAAGTAGTCAGTTTGCTTCCTGTATCAAAGCCACACCATCACTATGTAAACTCTTGGATGAGTGAACTGGCCTATCCTTTGCTAATCCCTGGTTAAGACAGAACATTCTTTCTGTTTCCAGTTTTGTTTTGTTTGGTGTGTATGGGTGCATGTTTTCCAGCACTGATATGACAACCATTTTGAAGGCTATTAGCCAGCTTTGTGCATATTTCTTCCTTTCAAATTCACTTGGATTCTGAGAACATGAAGTGCAATCACAGGGATGACAATTCTCCCTTTGTGTTACACCCACCCTTCCGTATTAGTTTTAGGTGCTTCCATGAGAGGCATAACATCTGTGCAAGAAGCAGGAAAAGATGGTCTGTGATGCTAAGCTGTGGAACCTGAGACCCCTCAGAGATTTACTCCTTATTTCCTGCCTCAGACTGAATATTGATGAAAAGAAAACTGATGAAATGTTAGAGCTACCAGAGACCTTGGAGACCCAGAGATGAACTAGATAAGCAGGCAAAGACAGCAGTGAACTCACAGTCACACAGCAAGGGTGGTTGGTCTGAAATCACAACGTCAATTTCATAGTCATTGTGCACTGAACCCTCAACATGGCATAGTCCAGAGGAAGAAACTAGAAGTACTAGCGGGAAGGTGGGCCTTGGGTTATGTCTGCTGATTGGCCCTACCGCAGTTTTCTTGGCTTCGTATTCCACCTGGTGGCTGCCTCATGTCATTTCATCTCTAAAAATATCTAAAGCCTGAGGCCTGAGTGTAAGGCTGAGAAGGAAGACTGTAGGACCTTATCAGACTTCAACTAAGTTGTCCTACATGGACCAGCTCCCACAGCTGTCTAGCAAGCTTTCTCCAGTCACCACCCAGAAATGATTGCCTCCTCCTCTCTGACTCTGTGGGACTCTGACACGTGCATCTGTCATAGTACTGTTCACTGCCTCCCCTGTGAGCACGTGGTCATGTCTGGTCTCTTCCTTCTGGCTGGATGGGAAATCTCTGGAGTCAGAGGCTGCACCATCTCTGCATATTCTCTCCTGTTTTCCTCAGTCCTGTTCTCTTCATTCATTAGGTTCTCAGTAAGTGCAGATGGGCCTGACAGACAGTTCCCACTGAAGACCCTGGGAAAGGAAATGGCTTTTCCTAGGATACATGAGCAAACACAGTCACAGCAGGCATCAGCATTTATCCAGGCTCATGTTTGCTGGGTACTGACTGTATTTGTGTGCAGTGTGGACATTGCTGGACACAGCATTAAATCAGGACGTCTTACCTTCAGGGGTTGGAGGCAGAGGAGCAGGGGAGGAAGCCAAGGATGACAATATATGGGCAAATAAAAATGAGCTAAACCGAGGTAGAAGGAGTACACTGAGCAAGTGACTATATACACCTGGAGAAGTCTTTAGGAAGGAGGAAGCATGGGAGCTGAGCCTCAAAATACAAGAAGGATTCTGATGGCAGACCATGAGAATTTATAAGCTTTTCCATGAAATGAAAAAGAAAGTCTAGCAGCAGTGTGGAGCAAATGTGTGAACATGGCTAATCACACAGCATATCCATGGGGAGCAGTCCAACTTGGCTGGAGCCCAGGGTGGGAGGGAAAGGTAGTGATGGATGAAGTTGGAAAACTAGTTTGGAACAAATCAAATGAGGACTTAAATGCCTTAAATCATGACTTAAATAATATGAAAACTTAAAAGGCTCAGAATAGGAAGCACCATTCTTCTGATATTGCTCTGAGGAAAGCAGCTGAAACTGTGCCCCTTTCTGACACTCAGTGGAGGTATTAACTGGTGTTGGAAACATCACTAATTCAAGGTCAAGACCCTGGAGATATGAGATCAAGTGTTGGATCACACGGGGCGAGTTTGGCAGGAGGGCTTCAGTGGGTGCTGCTTTCATTTGCATTTCAGTCAAAATTGGGCAGGATTGCTATCTTGTTCTTGAGTTTGTGTCTAAGTAAATGAATCATGGAAGAGTGTATGAATCTCTAAATCCAAATACACTGCCCTGTCCTTGGTCCAGTAGACTGTTCCTGAAGATGTCCTTGTACGTGGCACCTTGGGCACCTATTTGCAGAAACATGCACAGTCCATGCAGAGAAACAATTCTACTAGCAGAAGGGGAGGTGAAGAAGTGTGGCCTTAATAACAAGGTCTACTTGTCAACCTGTATCATATACCTCCTTGGGCTAAAATGTGACGGCACTGGGTTCTGGAGAAACTGGCACTTTATCTTTCGTGTGCTTCATTTATTTGTCATATTGTTGTGTACCAGAACTAGAACTTTTCTTGGTCGCTAAGGGCAAGGGAATAAAAATCAGATAAGCCATAGTGGATGGGAGAGACCCTTGCAGTCATTTAGGTCATTCTCTACAAAGGCTAAAGCCAAATTTCTGTTTAATAAGTGCTCCCTTCCTCTTGAGTCAATCAGAATTAACATTCCTTGTGTCTCCTCCTGTTTTCTTTCTGGGTCATTCTGGCTCATAATCAGTGCCTCAGAAGCAGAGCTTTGAGTGAGTGAGTGGACCCACTGTAACAGGGATCTTTTGTCCTTTTAAAGCCTGTAAGGAAGTTATAATGTGCTATTCTTTCCCCCAGGGAGAAGGTAGAATCCGACCTGGTATTTCTGGGGTTACTGATTTTGGAGAATCGATTGAAAGAAGAGACAAAACCTGTCTTGGAGGAGCTCATCTCAGCACGGATAAGGACTGTAATGATCACAGGTATAGAACAAAATGGGTGATCAAAATAGTGAGAACTTGGTGTGGAAAGAGACTCACTTAACAAATAGTGTTGCTTATGTACTATGGGGCAAGGCACTACCGAAGATGCTGCTTTCCTTACATTTCCACTGCAGTGGTGAAAGAAAATCAATCAATCAATCAATCAATCAGTCAGCCAGCCAGTCAAATAGTGTAATAACTGTTTTGAGGTACACAATATCAGGTGATGTAATATGTGTCTGGCTATCTATTTTGGATGAGGCAGTTCACAAAGGCCTCTCTAAGCAGTGACATTTGACTTAAGACCTGAATGACAAGAAGATATGAACCGTGCAAAGATGATGATTTTTATTGTCAGATGTTAGAAGATGAAAGATGCTTAGTCAACGCAATCTGTAAACTACAGTGAAGGCCTATCAATAAGAAAAGTCTGTAATTTTGGAGATAAAAGAAAAATGCTGCCCTCTCTATTCCTAATGCCAAGCTCTGGATCAAACAAACAAGGGGCCAGGGAGAAGGGGTTGCTAAGGGAAATGTATGAAATTTTTTAATGAACATTTTTCCAAAGTAGGAAGGGCTTGGTAGGAGTGACTGGTGGATAGCTGATCATACAATGGTCAACAGGAAGTAGAAAGAGAAAGGACGAGCCGGGAGGGAGATAGACTGTTCCAGCTCGCATCCTGAGCAAGTCGCTTCCTCCACATCTTCCAGCCTGGCCCAGCACCTAGCAGCATATTCTGCTATGGATTTGTCAGTGGGAGAATACACTGCTGAGTATAACGCCTCCATGATCCAATTGCTTTCCACACACCTAAAATTTTTGGAGGGAGGGTTTTAGAACTAAAACATCACAGGGACCCCTTAGACTGTTATAGAGTGTAAACGTCTATGTCAGATAATTGAAGCCCAGGCCTGGGCTGTACTTCCTCCGAGGTGGTGTCTTACAGGTGGGAGACCCCTGCCAAGCCCCTGCAGAAGCTCTTAGCTCTCATGGCTCCGTTTGCCTGTCCAACCTCAGAACTCTGTGCTTTTCCACCAGTCATGTGCTTTGAGGATCCTCATGTTCATTATGCAGAAACTTGAGAGAAGCCAGCCCAAGACAGCCAGCCAGAGCTGTATTATTTATTTTTTAGTAGTTGATTTAGGAAGCAATATATGTACCTATGAAGCTTTAAACCAGGAATGGCCCTTACCTGTTCCTTATGTCATAGGTATCATAAATGTGACATTTGTTGAGAATCTCCACCACATGTTACATTACTGTATTTCCTTTCCACAGTTGAGAGTTAAAGAAAGAAGTCTTTCATATTTACACAGAGCTTTCTCATCTCTGTTGTGCTTTTTTATTCCTTAAGTAGAAATTAACCTCTGGTATCATTTCCTTTCAGCCTGAAGAGCTGCTTTTAGCATTTCCTTTGAACACATCTGCTGGCAACAAATTATGTTAGTTTTCTTTCATCTTAGAATATTTTTATTTATTCTCTATTCCCTAAGGATGTTTCATGAGCTGTATGAGTCAGAGCTGAAGATTCTTTTCTTACAGGACTTTAAAGATGTAGTTCCACTGCTTTCTGTCCTCTTTGGTGCTTGGGCAAAAATGGGTGATAAGTTAAATCACTGTCCCCTTGTCTGTACCGTGTTCTTCTTCTCCATCTGCTTTTTTCTTTAACTTTGATCTTAGTAGTTTTATTCCCATGTCTCTGGATGTAGATCCCACTGAGTTTTCCCATTTTCTTGCATCTGTAAATTGTAGTCTTTTACCATATTTGGAGAATTTTTTGCTATTATTTCTTTTATCTTTTTCAGATTTTGTCTTATATTTATTTGTGTTTCTAAGAGTTAGCATATGGTTACTACTTGCTTCTTATTTAAGTGACCTTGTCCTTGATTCTTTAAAGTACATTTTTTCTTAGATAATACCACATTTATAAATTTGTTAGGAGATTCCTTCCATGAATGTAAAGAATTTAATACAATAATGAATTTCAGGTTATTTAGCATAAAATCTTATAAGTCAAATTGTACAGATGGAGAAAATATTACTGGAAGTATGCAAGATTTATATACTTTTGGTTCAATTTGTGTATCAGTTTTTAATAAACACAGAAAGAAATTTGGGAAACCACACCTTTCATAATAGCACCTAAAAAATGAAATACTTAGGAATTAATCTAACAAAGGAAGTAAAAGATCTATACAATGAAAATTACAGTACTCTGAAAAAAGAGATTGAAGAGGATTTCAGAATATGGAAAGATATTCTTTGCTCATGGATAGGAAGAACCAACATTGTGAAAATGACCATATTCCCAAAATTGTTGTACAGATTCATTGCAATCTCAGTTAAAATACCATTAGTATACCTCACAGATCTAGAGAAAACATTCCGAAAATTCATCTGGAACAGAAGAGGCCTAGAATAGCAAACACAATCCGGGGCAACAAAGGAAAGGCAGGAGGCATCACAATCCCTGATTTGAAATTATCCTACAAAGCTACTGTGATGAAATCAGCATGGTACTGGCAAAAAACCAGATCTGCTATTATTCCATCAACTACCTCTTCCCATTTCAGAATTTCTCCTCTCTTTCTCAGATTCCACTCACCTGAATGGCAGTCCTTTTGATATCCTTGGGTCTTTTTATTTTTGTTTAATTTCCTCTTTTCTCCATTTTCTATAATTATTATTGATCAATCTTCCAGTTCATTTTGCCACCTCCATTTTGCTATTGAGTGAATCCCTGGATTTAAAAAAATTAAAATTCTACAACGTGTAGTTCTTTTGTATCACTTACATATTTCTTTGTTGAGAACATCTGGCTTTACAGTTGTTCCATGAGTATTAGCATTTACTATATAAAGGAGACTTTTAATAGCTACTATCTGAGGACCTCAGCATTGAGTCATCAAAGGGTTCGCAGCTGTTGATTTTTTAAAGTTGAGAATTGGCCAGATATTTCACATTTTTTGTATGTGGAGTAACCACAACATTTTGGACATTACTCCATGAGACTTAGAACTCTGCTAAAATATTCTGGAAAATGTTGGAGTTGTTTTGTTTGTTTGTTTGTTTGTTTGTTTTTTGCTTTAGCCAGCAATTATCACAAATTCTGTCTTGTCTATTATAGGTGATGGCTCCAGTATTCCCTTAGATATTAAATCTTTTGCTATGTTTGGTTTTTCCCTACACAAGGATTACTCTGACAAGTGGGAAGTGATTTATATTATAGTTTAGTTCTTGATACTTCTATCATCCTTCTTTGGGTCTGCTCTACATGTGGATTGAGCTCTGGGTTCAGCCTAAGACTTACAAAGTTTGAACACTGAATTAGTTCTCTTTTGCAGCTCTCTTATTCTCAGAATTCATTTGATCATACTCTGCAGTCTATGCAGGATCCTTTTGCTGGCTCCTTTGCCCTGAAAGAGTGGGCTTATTTGGGAGTTTAACTTCCTGCACAACTGTGGGGCTAAGAGAAGAAAGAGAAAACCTGGGAATCTCACTCCTTGTTGGTTGCTTCTCCAGGGCTGACACCTTTTCACAGTCTGCTCCTATATGCTTACTTTTTCAAGTCTTTTGGGGAGCTGCTTTTTGTTTCATCTTTAAAAGAGTTTTCAATTATAATTAATGGGAAAGATAGATTATAGTAGGCTTACTCCACCTCAACTGGAAATGGAACCACGAGATGCAATATTAACCCTGAAGGGTTTTCTAAATGTTGAAAAAGCTCTTAGCAAATGAAAGAAATAGATTTGAATTTTGCTTTTTAAAATTTTTTGCTCTTCGATTCTGACAAAAATACACTGTTAGGTCATGAAGTAACCTGACAAGAAGGAGCAGGAGCCAGAAAAGGGATCATGAAATGCAGCCTAGGATGGAAAAAGTCCCAGAAATTATTTCTCTTTACACCTAAAATAAGAACTGGACTCTTCAGCCTGGCTTTGCAGGCTCTGCAAGATGCATCTATCTCTTCAGTCTCACCTTAGGAGGCTCTTCCTTTCTTCTAGGTGACAATCTTCAGACCGCAATAACAGTGGCCAGAAAGTCTGGGATGGTTTCTGAAAGCCAGAAAGTCATTCTCATTGAGGCAGAGGAAATCACTGGATCCTCATCAGCATCTCTGTCTTGGAAATTAGTAGAAGAGAAGAAACACGCTGCATGCGGGAGACAGGTATACTGAACACAGACCTGTTGTATCACCTGACTTGTTGCACTGTGTAGGTGACTGACAGCTGTGGTCAGCCAAGGTGTCGAGAAGACCTGGCGTCTACAAATTTCTCCAGACTTCTAACAAATATGCAGTTCAGTGAACCCAATTATATCTGTTTTTCACACTGTTCCTACTGTGCTCCAAGGTACAGGCTTTCTTGGGTGCTGGAAGTAATCCATTCTTTTACACTTCAAGAACTGGTTAGTTCTGTGAGAGAAGGAAAATAGTAAGCAGAGCTGTGAATCTAATTTACCATTTCTCCCCTGGCTTGTCAGCCATCTTATGGGCTCAAAGGGGATTTAGTTCCTGGGAGAGACACTTCTATGTGCTTTGCAAAATGAGACTATGTCTTCAAGGTAGGGGGAAAACATTTTATTCATTTATCTCTATTCTTATCAGTAGTCTATTTCCATTGTGTCCTTGTGGAATAATATTAATTCTGTAAGGAAAAAAAATAGTAAGCTCTCACTTCAGGAGGAGATCTGTTAAGCTTTTTATAGTTTACACTTGAAATGTGTGAAATGTGCTGCTCTCTGGGACTCACTGAGATCAAATCAGGATGAGAGCAGGACACAAGTAAGTGTTATTCTCTTAGTCGCTAATGGCTCTGATGCACAAAGACTGACCCAGTGAAGAGAAAGTACTTCTCTGAGGAATCAGGGCTGGTGTGTGACTTGAGAAGAAAGACCCTCATCTGTCTTCATTCCCTTCTCTCAGATGTGCTTGTCTTAACCACTCTCTCAAGTGGAAGTATCTAAAATAATTGTCTCTTGCTTTGCAGGACAATTACATTAACATCAGGGAAGAAGTCTACCATAATGGCAAAGAAGGAAGCTACCATTTTGCCCTAGATGGAAAATCCTTTCAAGTTATAAGTCGATATTTCAGCAGCCTCCTGCCAAAGGCAAGTTATGAGAGGGCAGAAGTCTCTCAGAGAGATGCTGTGGTGCCATTTCTAGAATACAGTCCTGAACAACTTCAGACTAGCACATATGCAATTAGTTCTTTAGATCATAAGAGAGGTAGATTTTTTTATTGTAATTTTATTAATAATACATAAATGGTTTGTGGACAGGCATCACCAGCTTGACTGACTGAACTATCCTGTGGTAAAAATATTTACTATATTATCCAACTTACCAGTGATTGTGCAGATGCTGGTTAAAAATGTCATCTTGGACCCCACTTTTATATAATAAATAATTCTAATTTATACAATAAGCCATTTGAATTCTTTAAAAAGTTGAAAACTGAACTAAAACAATATCATTCTTCTTCAACTTTGAAAACACTTGTGCAAGTTTCTTACTGGGATTAAAAGGGCAGAGCTGACAAGAAATATGACATGGTAATACAAGACGAAAATATTTGTGAGACTGTCCATTAATGTTTTATCAATGGGCAGGTCTCTCATATTGATGTATCAAAAATATATTTCTAACAGTAGGTAAAAATATCCTTTGTTCATTTTTAAAATTTCTTTGCCCTTAGTTGTCCACATTAATAAATCCTAAAGTCCATGAGAAATGTGACAAAGTTATGTAACATGCACTACATTGTCAAGCAAATCAAATATCAAAAGACCTAACAATTTTGGAAATGTTTCTCAACCCTCTCTTTTCCTGCTTTATTGATCTGGACACAAGTACGTATGCCTGTATACAAAAGAATCTTGCAGTGTGTCCACAGTGACAATTAACTTTCCCACCATGAAGAAAAGTAGTCTATGCCTCCCCGGCCAGTTACATAGAGGTGGACAGTACCTATGGTAACAGCAGTAAGAGGTAGATATTTTTTTGGAGAGGTTACTATTGTCTTATTTCCTATTAGATTTATAATAAATAAATAACATGTTCAGCTTTTTCTCCATCTAGAGGGTTGAGGTATCAGTGATTTTTTGAATCCTAAGGATTGATTTTAGGTAGATTTCACTATATTGCCATAATGAAGGATCTTACAGAGGAAATCCTTCCTGTAGGAAGGCAAGCCAAGAATAGAAGAATACCATTTGGTTATTTTTTTCAATTTTTAAATTTTTTGTCTTTTTTTGGAACAAGATCTCACTATGCTATCCAGGCTGGTCTTGAGCTCACTTTGTAGCTCTGGCTGGCCTTAAACTCACAGTGATCCTCCTATCTCAGCCTCCTAAGTGCTGGGATTACAGGCTTACACCACCATGCCCAGCGCCATTCAGTTTTTAATAAAGGAGCTCTGTATTTGGGAGAGCAAAATTTAAAAGTTTTCTGATGAAGAACAAGCCCATGGTAGATAACATATCTGCTGAAGAATAAAGATTTTGAGTGTACACTAAACTGTTTACTGCCAAGATGAGCAAGGCACATATACATGAAACAGAAGAATTTAGACTGTATAGAAAGAAGTTTAGGAGAATAGAGCTGGTATAGGTTTTTATACCCTCAAACTATCCATATTCCATAGCTCAAAGTAGCTGAGTGTCATAATTGGTCAAGGCAGGATGGCATGATTAAGTCAACGACCACAGATAGTTACTAGACTGTTTTTCAACAACTTCTGCACAATTTTTTGAGAATCACTTGTTTCTTTTTCTTGTCCTAATATCCTGACCTCTTGCTTTGGTACAATTTTCCTGACTTTATTGTTTCAAGATTTTATTAAGCTTCTGATTTTTCAAGACCACATTTTCCATGGCTACTGGGCTAAATTCCTGTTTTGTTTTGTTTTGTTTTTGGTCCCGGGAATCGAACTCACAACATTGCGCTTGCCAGGTAAACGCTGTGCTGCTGAGCTAAATCCCCAGCCCCTAAATTCCTGTTGGTCATTATTTTTATAAACTATTTTTATTAAGCAATTACTTTTACTGATTTCAGTATTCGCTGTCATTTATCTCATGACAAAAGTCTCAAAGTCTGTCTTTAAATCCATAAAAGGATTCCTTAGAAACAAACTTGTTTTTCATTCCTGGTCACCATCACCTGGCCAGTGTTATGTTGTCAGGTAATGAGTATACGACCAGCTGACATGATAATACGGTTCCTTTGTTTGGTTTCTTATAGATACTCATGAACGGGACGATCTTTGCGAGAATGTCGCCTGGGCAGAAATCCAGTCTTGTGGAAGAATTTCAGAAACTGGAGTAGGTACAGGGAACTGGCCAGTTTGTCTAGGCAGTGGTTTTCACCATGGCTACACATGACAGTCACCTAGGGAGCTTTGAAAAGATAGCAAAGCCAGCACATTGCTATCCAGAGATTCTAATTCAATGAATCACATGGGGCTTGGTTATCAACATTTTAAAAAGCTCTTCACATATGTCAATTTTGCAACTAAAGTTAAGAACCTCTGGACTAGAATATACGGGTTATGAAAAGATATGGCGAGGAATAGCACTGGAAATGTGATCTGAGCTCAGTACCTACAGGCACAATGAGAATTGAGACTATTTTTTAAGCTGTCACCACAGTTGTAATATAGGGAGATTCATATGATAAGAAATTCATAACTGCTCAGATACTAAAATATTCTTATGCTAAAGCATCCTCTCCAACCTGAATCAAAACAAAGCAAAAACACTAACACAAAGGGGTTCCATTTCCAGATAAAATAGGCAGTTCAAATAAAGTGATTGTCATTTGCAATCCCCTATTTCCTGTTGTTGGCCCTCCATGGAGTAGTGGCACAAAACCACATCCACAGGACTCCTGCTCCTCGCTGTCTTCCTACTCACACACAGTCATTAGGAAAGCTTCTCCATTCAGAAAGCCCTTTCTTCTCTATCTGGCTGAAAACCAGTTACCTTCTAGCAGTTCGGAAGAGAAGTACAGTATGTTCTGTGAATGCTATCAAATGCTTGTCCTCTGAGTACCCAACTGTACATGATCCTTTGTCAACAATGCCACAACAACATCCAACCTCAAAAACCACCCTAAATCAACATGGTGGTGCATGCTTGTAATTCTAGGTACTTGGGAAGCTGAGACAAGATAATTGAAAGCTCAAGACAGGATGATTGAAAGTTTCATTCTGAGACTTTGTCTCAAAATAATACTTAAAAAGAGCTGGGGATGCAGAGTAGTGGTAGAGCACTTACCTCACGTGTGTGAAGGCCTGGGTTCAATCTCTAGCACAGGGAGAAAAAAAAAAACCATCCTGAAGCAGGGTTCTGCTTTCTTTCTTTGGCTTTTTGGCCTAGTATATAATTTTTCAGCTGAGTGACTACTGACAGGTTGGAGTTCCTCCTGAGTTAGTATTAACAACACCAACAGCTGAGAGTTGCTTATCACTTTAGACTTTATAAGGTCTTTCCCATACAGTGTCTCATTTGATACTCATAACATTTTGTAGACGAGAAAAATGATGGTCTGAATGGTAAGATGATAAGGTCCAAATCTAGATCTTCTGGTTTCAAAAGCTGTCCCCTCTTCTCCAAGTTGTGATAGCTCATCTTATGGGCATGGGCATCCCTATTTTACAGTGTCGTGTCTACATGAACAGTTGGAGCTGAGAACGATGGTCTGGATTTCTTAACCTGTTGTAAAAGCTGCTGAGCTACACTTTACTTTCAGTCAGACTCTAGAGTGACACCCTTAAAATAAATAAGTTTAAACAGTAAGAAAGGTTGATCACCAGGTCCTTTTTAAATTAGCGAAATTAGCTGGTAAGATAGTTTTGACCTCTACAATTCACACGGTTCCCTTTTAGTTACTTTGTAGGTATGTGTGGTGATGGAGCCAATGACTGTGGGGTAAGTAGCCTGCAGTGGGAGGGGCTGTAATCTCCCAGTAGTCCTTACATGGAGCGCTTTGGAGATACTACCTGCTGGGATTCATATGGTTGCTGTTCCTCATGATGGATAGGCTGACACTGAGGATTTGGGAGGGTTTCGCCAAAACCACAGAATGACTCAGTGGTCAGGAGAGGGTAAATGAGGTAGGACTTGGTTCTGCACTTCCCTTTTTTAGCTAGGTGTGCCAATGCCATTTCTTTCTTATGTGGCAGGCATGCCCTTTGGTTAGTGTTGGGGCCCTAAAGCCAACTTGTGGCCTTTTCTTTTGTGGTCTCTATACAGATGTGTGTGAGTCTACAGAGGCAATAAGCCAACTCTTTGCTTGCAGGCTTTGAAAATGGCCCACGTGGGCATCTCTTTGTCAGAACAGGAGGCATCTGTGGCCTCACCTTTCACTTCCAAGACTCCGAACATTGAGTGCGTACCTCACCTTATCAAGTAAGTAGCCCTTGGTCCAGCATTATTTTGTTGCTCTTGACTTTTAGGAGCAGAAAACACTTTCTGCTAGGAAAGGCCAGGGAAACTTTATGTTCCTAGTGGGGAGGGTGCTGTGCAGGAAAATGCAAAATTTCTGTTACTGCCTAACGGACTCACCAACCATCACAAACATGCTTGCAGGCGCACGGCCATTTCTAAGGAAAGTCATCAATTAGATTATTTTGAAGGATTGGAGTTGGGAACTTGTTGCTGATTTGAAAGCATGACTCATCCTCCTATTTTTAAAGTGCATCTTCTTAGATATTCTTTTCTTCTTGCCTCTTTCTGCATCTTTGTGGCATTCTTCCCATTCATTGCTAGTTTATTCATTTTTGCTTTTTCTCACTAAAGTTTGCCTTGGTGCTTTATCTCCCCTCCCCCCAATATGCACTGCTGCTGCATTTTGTCGGAAAGCTTCAGATAATTAGCCTTACGGTCACTCTTTGTTATTATAGACAAGCGTGTGTTTGTATTTAAAAGGTGATATAGGGGGCTGGGGATTTGCAGCACAGCTCCTGCCTGGCAAGCACAAGGTTGTGAGTTCAATTCCTGGTACCAGGAAAAAAAAAAAGGTGATAAAAAGCTTCATAACCTTATACCTCAAAACAACCTGAAGATGTAGGAATAGTTGTTATTTAATTTTTTTTTTACAGATAAAGAAATTGAGACTTAGAGAATTTCACTGGTATGCCCTGACCTACACAGCCATATAGGGTTAGAGATTGCTTTACAATTGAGTTTGTTTAAATGTGTTTTATCCACAAATTCTATACTTTTTCTACCATATAAAGCAATGATTTGGTTAGTTCTTTCCATTTAAAAATGTTTGTTCATGTATTTGACAAACGTTTATTGGATGGGGACTCAGTGCCAGGTTCTAAGGGACATAAACAAAGATCGTACTTACTGATTTTGAGAAATGCTGTCAGGGTAATAAAAATGGTAGTGTGAAAGGTAGTGAGTGAGGTGGCTCTGGGGGAAGAACCAGCTGGCCAGGCAGGGTGACTTGGGAAAACCTCTCCAGGAGGGGAAGAATGAGAAGATACCACCTTCTGGGTGGCAGCAGTAGCAGCTGTGGGCTCAGCAGCATTCAGGAAAAAAAAAAACCTTGTTGGAATCTCAGGAAATAATTATGATCATAAGTAAATTAAAACCCCATTTCCCCCAAATGAAGTAGAAAGAAGTGATATTTCACAAGTTACCTATTTTATGCTTTAAATATGCACTATTTCCTTAAAGTCAACCAATAGTAGTACAGAGGAACACGTTCAGTGTGTCCAGTATATTTCAACTTGATGAATGATGACTTTGAGTATGTGCAGAATTTTAGTTCTAGTTCCAGAAAAAAGCCCCTGGGGCTGCCAAAGTGAAATTGGAATCACATATTTGCCAAACACCTGCATGAAGATAGCTCCCCACCTGCTATCTTATTTATATGCCCTGGTTAGTATGAGGAAGCTCGGACAAGGGGAATGACCCTCTGAAGTGCATCATTATGTAGGTGTGAGACTGGGGACCAACTCCCCAGGTCTCCTGGTCTGGAGGGCAAGAGCTGAAGCAATGCTTGCAGAAGGGACAAGTGCAGCTCCAAATCCAGGCTCTATTATCAAGTCAAGGCTGTGGACTTTGGCCTAGGGAATTGGTCTTTCCTGAACATCGAGTCACAGTGTTCACATCCAGCTCCCACAGATTCAAGGCTGCCTGGGCTGCCAAGCAAGCACTCCTGGTATCAGACTTCTGATCGTTTCTCTCCCAAGCTCAGCTAAACACCACAAAATAACTGACCAAGTTTTCCTTCATCACTTTCATTTCATTCCTTTTCTTACACAGGGAAGGACGTGCGGCTCTCGTCACCTCATTTTGCATGTTTAAGTACATGGCTCTCTACAGCATGATTCAGTATGTTGGCGTTCTGCTGCTCTACTGGGTATGACTTGGGACCTAGCCTCTTGGTTAGTGAGAACCAAAACAAGTGGTGGTGCGTGCTCAATTTGCAATGTCTCTTCAAGGGAGAGTGCAAATAGGACATCTAGGCATCAAGAACCTCCGTGCTTCTCGGGAGGCTGAAGCAGGAAGATCACAAGTTTGAGACCAGCCTGGGACACTTAGAGAGACCCTGCCTTAGAATAAAAAAATAAAAAAGGTAGTGGTTGAGAACCCTTGGACTCAATCTCCAATACTAGGGAGACTGAGTGCATGTTTGCAGTCCTTTTAGTACATGTTTGCAGTATGTAATGGTTATATTCCTTGTATGGAGTTGGTACATAAGCATAATACACCTTCATTTCTTTTTCAGCCCTTTTCTTTTCCTTCTCTCCACCCTCCCTCCTTCTCTTGATCTTCTTTCATTTGAGAAAGATCTGTCCCTCTACTTCCTATTATTGGCCTTGTATTTTATTCTTTATTTATAATTTGGAGTTCTCCTTAAAGTTTTATAAAATAATCAGAAATAGATGTGCACAGGAAAAGCTATTGATGTCAGTTCTCTGACTCTGAGAAACTCCTTTTCTAGTGGGAGCCAAGGATCAGAACTGAATATACCATTCTACAATATACTCATTGTAGCTTCCATCCAGTTGGACCAGGGCTCCCCCTCCAATTCTGATGTGGCTCTACTCTAGCATAGCATTCATTAAAGGGATGATCCTTACATTGGGTACTAACCCACCTTCCCACCTGACTTTCCTTGATTATTAGTATTTGATAATTTCAGTGGCATAAATACATTTCCTACAGCAAGTTTCAGGGTATTTATGTGTCACTGAATGAGGAATGGGAAAGAGATGTACTCTTGTAGGATCCTCTTATACAGTGCTTGTACCACATACATGCAAGAGTTGTAAGCTCAAGAGTATGAGGTAACAGTAAGGTGTAGGAGAATAATTAGGCAACCTGCTGGGTGTGGTGGTACACGCCTATAATCCCAGCACTCCAGAGGCTAAGGTAGGAGGATTGCCACAAGTTCGAGCCCAGCCTGGACTACATAGTGAGTCCAGGCCAGCCTGAGCTACATAGTGGGACCCTTTCTCAAAAAAAGAAAAAAGAAAAAAAGAAGAGAAAAAGAAATGCTGAACTCTGAGCATTTATTTGTAAGGTATTTAGCAATACATTTGTACAATTTAAGATTTTATGTTGGTTATATTTAATAATCAGCTCAAAGCTTTCCTAAAAATTTAGCAACTGACTTTAATTATTAAAGTCTTATAATAAGTCATTAATTATTAAAGATTATGAATCAGTAATCTTTGATCTGAAATAGAACAAAGTGATCTGATCTGAAATAGGGATTTGAAAACTGGCATATCATACCACAAAAAATACATATATGTTGTGATGGTTTTTATCACTTAATAGGATATAAAAGCAGAGTTGACATGTCTTTTGTTTGTGAATCCAATATGTAAGCTTATTCTTAATACTAACACCAAGAAAAGGGATTTTATTTGTCATATAGTGATTTAAAATCATCTTTATTTCTTGCCCTCTTTCTCTTAAATTACAGGTTTTAATTCTATTGCTTTGAGATTACCTATGTGTTTTCATACTGATAAGAGGGCTAGAGAAGGATTGGCTATTTATGGCAATGTGGGTCTACTTTATAATCCCAGTAACTCATTATGCTCAAAAGTCACATTAAATAGCACTTGCAAGGAGCAAGTTTCTAAAGGTCATTAACACCTGACCACTTTCTCTCGAGAGTATCAGTTCGCTTTATTAGGACCTCCTAGTATCTCACCTATAACACTCAAGTATATAAGTTATAGATTCAGTTGTTCTCACTGTCCATCAGTAAAAATAAGGTATGATGGCCCTGTATTTGCCATGTCTTACCACGGAGTTGGGTGCTTTGATTATGTAAGATCAAACCTCAGATTTCCTAGTAGCAAACAGAAAACAGAGCAGAGATGGCTCTAGCAGAAGAAGATAGTCTCTTCCTCAGAGGGTTTGTACTGGTGAATGAGGACCCTGGCCTATAAGGCCTGTGACAGAAGCCCTCCTTGTTGGAGAGGTTTCCACAAGCTTGAGTCCTTCCACCAATACCTGCTTTCATCAAGCCGAACAGGCCCTCGACCTCATCCTCTCCTTGGTAATCTACTTGAATAATCCTGTTTTTTGGTCAGAATATGAATGAAATTCATGTCAAACTTTATCTGAAAGGTCATAGCTGTTTTGATCTGCTTTTCTTTTCAGGAGACAAACAGCCTTTCAAATTACCAGTTTCTGTTCCAGGATCTGGCCATTACCACCCTGATTGGGGTAACAAGTAAGGCACTTTTCAAACTTTCTTACTAGAGGTGCACCTCAAAAGGAGGGAGGGAGTAAGGGAGAGAGGAAAGGGGACACAGAGAGATCCTCAAGTTTAACTGTTGCAGGAAACGCCAGTGACTTTTCTCTTTTCTACAAAACATAGAGCTTCCATCAATGGACACTACATAAAATGAAAAACTACCTTGCAATTCAGGAACGTTCACTTTAGTGTGCTTTTACATATAGTTGTAGTTGGAATGTGCCCACTTTATAGAAACTAAATGGCCTGTGTGTTTCTGGTCTGCACATCTTAGCCTCTTGGCATTGAGAATGGACCATAAAAATAACCTTGCCATTAGACTCCTCCTACTTACCATTTTCTAGTGAGTATAGGAATTGTTTCCCTGCATAGGGAAAATTTTAATTTATGACATAATTTAGGATCGATTTTAGGTGCACTTCAAAATGGAGAGGAAGGTGCAGAGATTTCCAATATACTCTTTGACATACACATCTCCTCTCTTATCAGCATCTCCTGTCACCCTGTGGGTGCATCTGGGACAAGTGATGAACCTACACTGACTCATCATAATTTCTCAAAGCCAGCAGTTTATGCTGAGGTTCATTTTTGGTCTTTTCCTATGAGTTAGGTCTATGTAATGTGACATGTGTTTGTGATTGTAGTGTCATACTGGGTATTTTCACTTTCCTGAGAATTTCTGTGTTCTGTTTCTTTATCCTTTCACCCCCACCCACACACACCTCTTGGCAACCACTGTGACCACTGCACTGTCTCTAGCGTTGTACCTTTCCAAGGATGTCCTAGAGTTGGAATCATGCAGTATGCAGTCTTTTTTGGATTGACTTTCCTCACTTAGGGGCATGCATTTGAGGTTCCCTCTGCCTTTTCATAGGGTGACAGCTCTCCTCTGCAGTGCGGAGTAATACTCCACTGTCTCTGTGCTGCAGTTGATGTATTCACTTACTGAAGGACATCTTGGTGCTTCGAGTTTTGCAATTATGAATGAAGCTGCTGTAGACAGTAGTCTACAGATTTTTGTGTGAACTTCTCCTCAATTCCACTGGGCACACATCCAGTGAGGGTGAATCCTGTCGTAAGAGTATGTTGGTTGCGTAAGAAACCACCAGACTTCAATCTTCAAAAGCAACGGGACCATTTTGCTTTTTCACCAGAGGTGGATGAGAGGTGGATGTTGTTCCACATCCTCGGTAGCCTTTGGCGGTGACGGTGTTCTGGCTTTGGGACATTTGGATAGGTGTGTGGTGCTTCCACTTGTGTTTTCAATCCCACTTCCACCTACCTTCTCAAGGGTTTTGTTCCTGTAGAGATCTTTTTCTCAATCATCAACTTCTCTCGGGTCTCCTGGCTCATTGGCATCAGCATAGACACACATTTTGGGTATTCTTTCCTTAAAAATTTCTCCTTTTTGGGAGGAACCTAAGCCCATGACTAGCCACAGCTCCTTTATTCTTATTTTTTAAAAATTTTTTTGTGGTGCTGGGGGTTGAACCCGGGGCCTTATGCGTGTGAGGCAAAAGCTCTACCACTGAGCCACATCCCCAGCAGCTCCTTCGTTCTTAAACATCTCAGTGTTGTGTACACCTACTTTCTCTATTTCCCATCTTTAATTTTTTTCCATTCCAGTTCCTTTTGTCACATTCTATACCCAAGGATGTAAATGTACTTGTGTTATTTTTTTGGGGGGGTTTGTTTTTGTTTTTGCTTTTTCTGGTACCAGGGATCGAACTCACGATCTTGCACTTGCCAGACAAGCGCTGTGCTGCTGAGCTAAATCCCCAGCCCCTGTACTTGTGTTATTGTTTGGTCAGAAGCAGTGGTGTGCTTGCTAATGCTTAACAACTAGCTTTCCACAAGTTTTTTTTGTATATGAATTTATATATATATGAATATATATATAAGTTGATATAAATTTTACTGAAAAGATAACTGTGTAGTGTGAAATATGCGAATAATAAAAATACACAATACTCTTTATTGTAAATTCCACTCTGCCAATTGATCTCACAGAATGCTGTCACTGAATTTTGCCAAACTCTTGTGTCTATAACAAACTTATGGTTGCAGCTAATCACTGCATTAGTGTCAACGTGAATGCTGTTGATAGTGCTCTTTAACTGAACTCAGTAAAATAAAAACCAAACAACAAAGACTTGCATTGAAAATCCACCAGTGTTGTGAAAGACTTATTTGTTGAATCAGCCAATATTTCTTGAATACCAGAGGCATTTCTTTGGTATTTAAAAAAATATTCACAATGCAATGACTACTAACATGACACATTTGTAATCCTCATTCTTAACCTCAAAGACATGGCTGATACTAAATATAGTAAAATAATTAGAAAGTTATCAATTTTGAGTTTTCTTTAATATGTATATATTCACAAATGTATATCATTTACTTTTTTAGACATAATGAGTACAGGATTTTTAAAAGTTTTCATAATTTTTGTTCTTATCAATACATGTTTGCAGTGCATAATGATTACATTCATGGTGGAACCTATCTTTTCCGTCTCCTCTTCCTCCCTCTCCCTTTTTCTTGATCCTCTCCCTTTTGCAAAAGATCTATCTCCCTGTTTCCTATCATCTGTATTCTAGTTTACTCTTTCATTTATTTACACTTTGGGTTTCTCATAAAGGAGAAACCATGTGATATTTAAGCTTGTGTGTCTGATTTGCTTCATTTTACTTTATGGTTTAGTAATGCCCGCAATTAATAACTGACTTGCAATTTTAGCAGCAATTGGCTCTTAGGTGCCAGCTCCAGCCATCGCTATCTGGAAGGGTACACATTGCGGGCACATCACAAAGGTGCATGTTTTTCATTGCCTCTTCTACAAGACTCGACAAGACTCATGGTGTTGCTATTGCACGTCCCATGCTGTCATGCCAGTTTAGTTTAAAGCCTTGTTCCACAGCTCAAAAAAACATGCTCAAGTGGACCAACTGCTAACTGAAGTTCAGCCTCAAATTCCCTGAGACTGCTCTTGTCAAGGTCCACCAATGACTTCCCTGCTACCAAAGACAATGGTCCCTTATCCTGCCTCACAGCACTGGACACTCAACAGTACTTTCCTTCCTCAGAAGGTTTCTCTTTCTGACTTTTGTGATGCACACACTTCTGAATTCCTCTGCATCCACACACCCTCCGTATCACTCTAATGGACACAGCTTCCCCATCTTTTTTGTTTACTTGTCCTCTAAGTTTTTGAATGATCCAAAGCTTGTGTTTCATTCTGTACCATCTCCCTAAGGTATTGCAACCAGCCCAGTGACTCTAGTGTCATCTATTCTATTATGATGACTCTCAAAAGAATAGCTGTAGCCTTGATGTCTATCTAAAGCTCTAGATACAAAACCGCTTAACACCTAGCCTTGGATATTTAACTGGGCTCAAACTTAACATGCTCAAACAGAATTCTCAATGCTACTGGATCTGATATTCAATAAAATATCATGTGCTTATTGCATCCTTTGTTTGTGCTACTTACTGCTTCAATGAAACAAAACTAAGATTCCAGGGGCTGGGGATTTAGCTCAGCGGCAAAAGCGCCTGCCTGGCAAGCGCAAGGTCATGAGTTCGGTTCCCGGTACCGGAGAAAAACCAAAAAAAAAAAACCTTTGGGCTCGGGATTTAGCTCAGCGGCAAAAGCGCCTGCCTGGCAAGCGCAAGGTCATGAGTTCGGTTCCCGGTACCGGAGAAAAACCAAAAAAAAAAAAGATGCCTTTGCTCTTAAACAAATATGTTACTAACATATTCATGGTGAAGCTAGAAAACATTGGAAGAGACAGCAAAGAGAAGTCCATCTTATTTAATCCTATTATTCAGAGTTAACCAATTAAAGCATTTTTTCATTTCTAAAATTTAAGTTCATTGGTACATTTTAGATATATACAATGATCATATATTATCATAGGGAATTTATACCTGTACATGGTATAATTTGATTTCTCTTTTTTCCTCAGTTCCCTCTCTCTTCCTTTCCATTCCTCTTCCCCTGCTTATTTGCAAAGCTTTGTTTCCACTTTATCCTTCTATAAATCGCTTTTTTCTTTTCCCCTTCCCCCACACTAGCTCCTCTTTCCTTTTGAACTATTTCTTCCCGTTTCATAATATCTATTGTACATTTTGGTCCTTATTTGCCCTTTCACTTTGTCACGCCAAAGAGACAATGTGATGTTTACACATGGAGAGGCTGTGTGGGAAAAGGAAACCTTCTCCACTGTTGGTGGGACAGTAGACTTGTGCAACCACTGTGGAAATCAGTGTGGAGATTCCTCAGAAAATTAGGACTGGTGTTCTCATTTGACCCAGCTATTCCCCTTCTGGGTATCTCCCCAAAAGAATTAAAAACATCACATTACAGTGATATGTGCACACCCATGTTTATAGCAGCACAGTTCATAATAGCTTGGAAACAACCCAAAAATCTCTCAACTGAGGAATGGATAAATAAGATACATCTTTTTTTTTTTTAAATACAATGGAGTACTATTATGCCAAAAAAAGGATAAACTTGAGACATTTATAAGTAAATGGATATAATTTGAGACAATTAAAGCATTTTGATGAGTTTCTATCCAGTCTTTTATTCTACATAAATGAAAAACTGGTTTAATATTAAATATTTTAATTATTTTTATTGTGGTAACATATACATAACATAACATTTGCCATTTTAATCTTTTTTTTTTGTTTGAGATGGGTCTCACTATATAGTTCAGTCTGGCCTTGAACTCACTTTGTAGCCCATGCTGGTCTTGAGCTTACAATGATCCTCCTGCCCCAACCTTCTGAGTGCTGGAATTACAGGTGTGTGGCACCATGCCCTGCCTTACCACTTTGAAGTAACTAGTTCAGGGGCATTAATTACATTCACAATACTGTGCAACCATCATCACTATGTATTTCCATAACTTTTTGATCACCTCAAATAGGTATTTCCCCTCCTATTTCATGGTGATCTCTAA